TATGTATGTATGTATGTATGTATGTATGTATGTATGTATGTATGTATGTATGTATGTATGTATGTATGTATGTATGTATGTATGTATGTATGTATGTATGTATGTATGTATGTATGTATGTATGTATGTATGTATGTATGTATGTATGTATGTATGTATGTATGTATGTATGTATGTATGTATGTATGTATGTATGTATGTATGTATGTATGTATGTATGTATGTATGTATGTATGTATGTATGTATGTATGTAATGTAATGTAATGTAATGTAATGTAATGTAATGTAATGTATGTATGTATGTATGTATGTATGTACGTATGTATGTATGTATGATGTAATGTATATGTATGTATGTAATGTAATGTAATGTAATGTAATGTAATGTAATGTATGTATGTATGTATGTATGTATGTAATGATGTAATGTATGTATGTATGTAATGTAATGTATGTAATGTAATGTAATGTAATGTAATGTAATGTAATGTAATGTAATGTAATGTAATGTAATGTAATGTAATGTAATGTAATGTAATGTAATGTAATGTAATGTAATGTAATGTAATGTAATGTAATGTAATGTAATGTAATGTAATGTATGTAATGTAATGTAATGTAATGTAATGTAATGTAATGTAATGTAATGTAATGTAATGTAATGTATGTATGTATGTATGTATGTATGTATGTATATGTAATGTAATGTATGTAATGTATGTAATGTATGTAATGTATGTAATGTAATGTAATGTCACGTACTTCAATGTAATGTAAATGTAATGTAATTTAACGTAACCTAACGTAATGTAATGTATTGTATGTATGTATGTATGTATGTATGTATGTATGTATGTATGTATGTCTGTTTCTTTTTGTGTGTGTGCGCGTGTGTGTGATCTTTGCTGGAACCCAACATCGAAGTGTGATTTATACTAAGCCTCATGTGGTGATGTTTGGCTTGTGTTCCACTATCCTGCCCCACAGATATGGCTGAGCTAGTGCACAAGCAAGCGCCTTTCTACGGCATTGTTTTGATCGACGGGAATGATGGCATGCTGCCTGCGGACCGACCCCCTTGAGGCAAATCACCAAAGAGCAAGGCAAGGCCGAAGAGGGTGGGGAGCAAGAGTCAGTGCTGGAAAAGCAGCTTATTTTGAGGCCTCATTCAGTTGTCAGGCAACGCCTATGGATGCTGGATGTTTGCAGTGTTGCTTGACTTGCTGGAGCGATAGGGAACGAGAAATGGAATGACCCCTACAAACCATCCGTTTGGTGGTTCCCTTTTTCAGGAATCCCCAGCTTCATTCCATTTCTCATTCCTTCAATAAATCACACCAGCAAGTTGAAAAGAATGCGAATTTTTCCGGAAGGCGCTCGTGAAGGAGCAGATCCGTCCAATGCCAGGCACCCTTCAGGCCACGGTTTGGACCCAAGGCTTCGAGTTCGCATTTGGGTTTGTCTCCAAGGAGAATTTAAGGGTGGGTTTTCGTTGGTTTCCCTTGAGTTGGGGGCTTATGGCTTGGACTGCCAGGTGAAGGTGAATTTCCAGGGGTTCCAGGCGCTGGGGTGCGGTTGGGGAAAGTTGTTTTTCCTTGCCGTGGCTTATGAGACTTGACGAGTATCGCTGATTTTGAAGCTGCCGAGGTCTTCTTTCTTGTGGCGCAGGGCGGGTTTTGGTACACCAAGTGCAAGCCAGGCAGGAGATCCGAGCCGAGGCGCCGAGGATGGGTTGCACTCGTTTTTGTCAGGCAACCTCGTGGATGAGGAGCGGCCTGAAGAGCACGAGCTGGTACCCAGGAGCCGGTCGGAGACAGGGTCTGGTTTTTTTACTTCACTTCTGTGAAACCGATGGAGAAGTCTGCCCTGCCAGGAGGACCAAGATGCAATCTCGTCAGCCGGTGGTTTCAGCAGCCATCAACAACATTGTGCTGGAGGCCGATCCCTTACTTTTTATTCAACCCCAATGGAAGCAGTTCCTGCCTTTGTGGTAGCTTGTGAGATTTGCCTTGAGGTTGTGCAGAAGGGCCACAAGAACTACCGCATTGCCAGGCAAATTGATTTAGCCTGGGCAGGGGAAGGTCATTATGGCTGCCACCCTGTTGTTTGGGTGGACCTTGTATGCACGTACTGAGAACAGGTGGATCGAGCTCACCGTCGGCAGCCTCGATGTGGAGAACCTGAATGCAAACAAGACGCAGCCAAGTCGGACGATTGTCAGGCCGGACCTTGGCTTAAGATGAAGGACGGCATACATCAACATTCATGGGTTGGCGCAGACTTCGCACCTCGGACAGCTGTCGAGTCATCCGCCACTCGTGCCAGTCTGAAGTCAGTGCAGAAGCACAAGGGCTTGCCAATGTGCATCTTCCTGGGTCTGAACACCTTCGAGGCCGGACTGAAGTTGGAGAGGCTCGTTCAAAATATCAGGGCTCAATGGTTAACGTGAACAGTTGTCAGTATTCACCATCCGTTTTAATAAATTCTGAATGACATGGGGTGTGCTCATCCACTGAAAACAGGTTTCCAAAGTTCCGGGTCAATACAGCGTTGAAACCACACGCCGCGAGCGGGTTAGCAATGACAGGTTTGAGGGTGACACTGGAACTGGCAACACCACTGACCGTTTCATATGGCTGTGGGTCAAAACCAATGGTACCATTTTGGGTAGGTGAATTCACCACCCATTTTAGGACCTATCTTAGTGGTTGGATTGGGATGTTCACTGGGGGTACGATTTGGGTTTTTGACCCATGGCCATATGTCGGAAACAGCGAGTCTTTCTCTCGAGAGGGAGCGAGAGATGTTGCCAGTTGCTGGACACCAGCTTCACCACGGGTGACACGCCCTTGTCCGCCGTGTTGGAACCATGGGAAGGCTGGAGATTTGTTTTTGCTCCTTTTTTATATAATACATACATATATATATATATATAAATTAATCTTTGCCAACTACTCTTGCTCCATTTGACGTCGAGTGCTCAGGTCTGCTTGGTCACACCAAGGCAGGGTGCGCCGAAGGGGTCCAACTTCTGACAGGCATAGCCAACTCGTGCTGAACATGCATTGCAGGGTGTGAAAAGCAGACCCTTCTGAGGGGATACCCGTGAAGAACTTTCAAGTGGCATTCATATCAGATAGGAACACTTTGAGCCTCGAGGATCAGGCAACACCCACCACCCCGGCGATGCTGCAGAACTTGGGGTTCTTGAAGGACGGGAGTTGCCTGGACAGCTGCAGTTCTCTCAACATGAAAGAGATGCCTGCCTCAATGAAGCGTTGGCCTTTGGTTCCAGACTGGTCAAAACTGCAACAGTGCACACAGCAGGCCATCAATGCACACGCGGAAGGATCAGGTGCGTGATGTGGGCAAGTCTATGACCTTTGCCTTTGCGCGCATCGGGGAGGCCGGCACTGGTATCATTGTTAGTTCCAGAGTCCGGACGTGCTTGGCTATTGTCACGTAAGCCCGTGGCCAGAAACAATTTCTGGCTTGAGCCATGCGCTTGAGTCTCGCAGGTGCATGCTTTGGACTGGGCACCCTTCCGGCGCCGGATGCTGTGCACCTCCCAGAGACCCGAGTATCTCGTACGGGAATGCAACAGTCAACCAGATCTCCACTGCGTTTGGCTAGCGAGATCTCAATGCACGGACCCGCGACATTCGCAAGAGAAGCGAGACTTCTGTAGTCACTCTCGCACTCTCCAAGTTGTGAACCCGTCATTTGGCGCTGTGCTTTTTGAGGGTACCCTTTCCAGGCTGAACAGGAAGCCACGAGTACAATATGTTGGCCCCTATTTTACACATGTTCACGTGGCGAGGTGTCAGAGTTAACAAAGGAAACAGGCAAAGTAAATGTCCCTCGAGGTTCTTCAGCAAGCGGGGCCTGAGTGACATGGACATGGCCACCGACCTTGTACGAAGACCCTCTCCGCAGCTGCCTCAGGGCTATTCGCCTCGGGCAGCTTCTCCCGTTGTGTCCACCGATCTAGTCCGACAAAGCCGGTCCTGGGAAACCCATCTTTCACAGGTAGCCGTTGGCACAAACTGCGTGCTTAGCATGGGCGGCAGCGCCTTGACACTGCCACTACACACGCCAGGGAGAAGGAACCAACCAACGGCTGCGGTGACTATGGGGGCCATTTAGGACAGTTTAAGGCTGCTCCCCTTCCCGCGGATGCCCTACTTGTAAACTAAAGTCCGCCTACAATTCAGCCGGGTTTTGTGGTTGTATGGGTTGAGGAACCACTGTATAACTCCCAAGTACTTGAGCCAACACATAGCCGGCACCTCGACTGGCGATTTTTCCCCAGCCGACGGCCAGGGAGGCACTGATGAAGGAACTGCTGGTGCGCTTGCAACGGAAGGCGAGGCAAGCAAATTGTACTCAGTTCGTCCCGAACTGATTGATTGATTCTCGTTGTCCCAGCGGCAGGTTGAGATGGCGGTGGGCAAGTCCAACATGCTGGGCTCTTTGGAGGTCGAGCTGGATGGTGTCAACGTGGCCTGGATGGCACCAGTCGAGGGGTGCGCCGCGATTTCTGAAATGGTTTAAGGGAGGTCACACCTCCGGAAGGCAGGCAGACCTAGGCAGCACTGCACATACGACATCATGAACATCTTGAAGTAGATCAGTTCAAATCCTTGCACTGAGGCTCGCAGCGTTGACAACTACAATCGCGGCATGATGCTTTGCAAGCAGGCGCAGTCTGCGCAACATGGAGGTGGTCTGAGTTGCTAGTTCAGACCGCTTGGGACGGGCGGTCAGGCGAATCTCAGCCCCTTGCTGCTGAAGGCTGGGCTCACGATTTTTCGACTTTGGTGGCAAGGCCCACGTTCCAAATCTCATTGGAGCTGCCACAAGTGTTTGCGACAAAGTCCATGAAGCGACTGGTCAGGAAACTCTGAAGCCAAGACAGCACCTCGTAGGTTAGTTTGTTTCCGCAAATTGGACCACTTGTTCAGTTGATTTAAGAGGTGCGTGTGTGTGTGTGTGCCGCGCATTGTGTGCAGGTTCACTGTTCTGGACAGCCCCAGGCCAGACGCTGCAATCTCTCTCGGCAGAGCCTTGGAAATCACGCCATAAGTGATTTTGGCGTTAGAAAGTTCAATGTGTGTGTGTGTGTGGGTCATTTTGAGGGCGCTTGTTTCACCTTGGCTTAAAGGCAAGCCAAAAGGAAAACGACTCATGTTGGGGTCCCCCGATTGTGACACACGCATTGCTGCTTTTGCATTGACCGGGTCAAACCTGTCGCGTGACGCGTCAGCTGAAGGTTTCGGCTTCGCCAGGCATTCCAGGTGCAAGTACACCATCTGCGCCATGAAGCCGATACCTCGAGACCCCTCTTCAAACCGAAGAAATATGGGGGGTTCCCTTGCGGGGGTGAGGCGAACCAAGGGAAGCGGGCCATGTCTTTGGGACTTTTAGGGGGGGTCTCCGGAGACAAACATGGCTGATGGAGTCACTCGATGGTCGCACGGGAGATCGGGAGAAGTTTGGCCGATGTCAACGGAAGTGTTTTGCTGCCAGCGTGATGGCTTCGGCGGGCCTTTCCAAGTGCAGTTGACTGCATGTTTGTGTGATGCGAATTCATGTCCTGAGGCCTCGGCAGCACCATCGCTGAGCATGCTCACGGTGCGCTTGCACTGTGGTCAAAACTCAATTATGTTTGTACTGTTTTAAGAGGCCCACAGTTCAGCCTTTCTCTTACCAGATTAGCTTCGACTCCTGATGCAACTGACAGCAGATACCAGCAGATACCAGCAAGGGTTTGGCCGTGCGCGGGCTGTGGCTGGTGGTTCACGCTTGCTCACGCAGGGCGACGGGGGAGTTAACATGCTGCCGTGGAAATCAACGATGCTGCTCTTGCCGCAGGCCACTGTTGGGCAAGCACGTGCTAGCACACCTTGAACTTGACTGATGGTGGCCCACAATTGCTTCAAGTTTTTCGCACAGGACGACTTCCATTGCACGGCAGGCTGGAGTGACGGGAACGGCACATAGAGCACAGTTGTTCATTGATTTACACAGTTTGACTGGAACATGGATGAGTTTGATTCAACAATGAAACATATAGCAGAGCAGCAAGTGGCTTGCCTCGCTCAGAGAGTGAGCACACAAGCAGTGCACAAGCAAGCATACCGCTTCCTCCATCACAGGCGCAGATCGCAAATTGAAGACCAAGGACATACGGGGGTACATAAGTGCACCCGTGCAATGTGTGGCTTTTTCTCCGCGATGTCTCCCTCTCTCTGTCTCTCTCTCTCTCTCTCTCTTTTGCATTGTTGCAGCATTTGCAGATTCTAAAGTAGCAGAGTCATACAGAGATAGAGATGGAGGCGGAGCCAGAGAGAGGGAAAGAGACAGAGACGGACAGAGACAGGCAGGCAGGCAGACAGGCAGGCAGACAGGCAGGCAGAGACAGAGACAGAGAGACAGAGAGACAGAGAGACAGAGAGACAGAGAGACAGAAACAAAGACAGAGACAGAGACATAGACATAGACAGAGACATAGACATAGACATAGACATAGGCAGGCAGGCAGACAGGCAGACAGGCAGGCAGACGGACACGCAGACAGACAGAGACAGACAGAGACAGAGACAGAGACAGAGACAGGGACAGACAGAGAGACAGACAGACAGAGAGACAGACAGACAGAGAGACAGAGAGACAAAGACAAACAGAGACAGAGACAGAGACATAGACATAGGCAGGCAGGCAGACAGGCAGACAGGCAGACGGACAGGCAGAGAGACAGAGACAGACAGAGGCAGAGACAGAGAGAAAGAGAGGAAGAGACAAAAAGAGAGAGAGAGAGAGAGAGATAGAGAGAGAAATAGAAAGAGAGAGAGAGAAAGAGAAAGAGAGAGAGAGAGAGAGAGAGACAGAGAGACAGAGAGACAGAGAGACAGAGAGACAGAGAGACAGAGAGACAGAGAGACAGAGAGACAGAGAGCAGAGAGACAGAGACAGAGAGACAGAGAGACAGAGAGACAGAGAGACAGAGAGACAGAGAGACAGAGAGACAGAGAGACAGAGAGACAGAGAGACAGAGAGACAGAGAGACAGAGAGACAGAGAGACAGAGACATAGACATAGACATAGACATAGACATAGGCAGGCAGACAGGCAGACAGGCAGACAGGCAGACGGACACGCAGACAGACAGAGGCAGACAGCGACAGACAGAGAGACAGACAGAGACAGACAGAGACAGATAGAGACAGACAGAGACAGACAGAGACAGACAGAGACAGACAGAGACAGACAGAGACAGACAGAGACAGACAGAGACAGATAGAGAGAGAAAGAGAGACAGACAGAGACAGAGCGACAGAGAGACAGAGAGACAGAGGCAGGCAGACAGGCAGACAGAAAGACAGACAGAGAGACAGAGACAGACAGAGACAGACAGAGACAGACAGAGACAGACAGAGACAGACAGAGACAGACAGAAAAAAGCAAGCGCAAACAGACAGACTTTTGACTTGAATTTGCGGAATGTACGCGCATCCCCTTCGCGACCTACGAGAGCGAGAGAGAGAGAGAGAGAGAGAAAAAAAAAGAGAGAGTGAGAGGGACAGGGAGAAGGGAAAGAGAGGAGAACCAAGAGCGAGAGAGAGAAGCCCAGCGATCACAGAGAGAACGTTGCCAGACTGCCGTGAAGCATTTGAAGAAACAGCAATGCACGAAATGGTACCGAGACGTTGGCCGAGATCATGAAGTGCTTGTGTTTGTCCGCTGTTACCATCATGTCTCCCAGGAGACGCGCTCAAGCTCGGCGAAGAGAAGCACTAACTGGCTTCTTGGGCTTATGGAAGACTTGAGTTTGTGGCCATTGGCCAAGTCGTGTGAATTGATGGGTATCAAGCATGTTGATGAGAATCGTGCTGAGTAGATCCATGGGAGAAAGTCTACTTGAGATGGGCTGAGCCTGCCAGATCGGCCAGGGTTGGCTCAGCGGGTCCATGGCGCACAGATGATTCCCCACCCAAGGGGCGTGTGTGGCATTGTAGCGTTTTTTTGTATTTGATTTGTAGGCCTGGGCAAAATACTTGACTTGTCGTACTGGTGGCTCTTCACCCAGGGACTCCCAGTCCCAGTCTCCAGCGCGAAAGTCACGCCAGGGGCCCAGGCAAAATGTGGGTCACAGGCACGCGTCTGTGGCACATGCCGCGCGAGCTTCGCGAAGCTTGCGTGTCTAAGGTTCGCCGGGCAAGAAGCAGAGCCCCGCAGACACTCAGCAGACTCTGCAGGCCAACCACTCGTTTCTTGAAAGGTAACGGGCCACAAACTGCCACAAAACCCACGAAAGTGGGCCTCAATTTTCTCAAGCACGTGAGTCCGTTGCTCTTATCTATGACAAGCAACAAGTGTTATTTTCTATGTTTTGTCATTCACTAGTTAAGCATTGTAAATCATAAAGGCTTAGGCATATATTATCACGGTAAACAAAATGCAAATGAACATCATGAATGGGAATAGTGAATGACAAATTGCAAAGGAGCATACTGAATGGGAGTACTGAATTTTAGTGAATGGTAATCAGTTTTAGTGAATGCTCATGAGCGATTCACAACACTCACTAAAAACACCCAACCGCAGAAAGTTCACTACAAGTTTCACTAGATTTCACTAATTTGAGTTGTCATGAAGTTCAACAAGCCGGCCACTTGAGGTTCGCAAAATGTCTTTCAATGTTCACTAAAGTTTACGAATTCAAAGTAGTAACATTTTGTGAATCGCTGATCAAAATTCATGAACGTCACTAAAAGTAAATTTTGGAAAGTTAGTGAACACTAGTGACATCTAGGGAATTTAGGTGCATCGCTCATTTTTCAAAGTTTCACTATTCAAATTTGTGGTGTCTAGTGAACTTTAGTGACAATTAGTGAGTTTTCTCGATTGGCCGTTGTCACTATTTCATTTCACACAACTTGGACATCCACCTCAATTCACAAATTGAAATCACAAACGGTAAATCCATGGTTCGATTTATGCACTATGTTGCAATTTTGACAAATCAAAATCGATCCATGTGTTTCAGTGTCATCCAGGTCCGGCAATCTTAAATATATTATTCATTACTTGACATTAATATCAGTCCTTACCCAAAAACATAGGTATACCTCCAGAAAGCCAGAACTTCGACAAGGCTTTCTTGTGATTTTTTTTTAATAATGCCTGGCTTGTTTGGAGGACTTGTTTTTTTATGTTACATCTATCTTCAAAGGGTCACCAGAAGTGGTATATCCTAGAGAATGATTGTTCTATCATAATATGGTTTTTGCTTTTCAATTTCTGAAAATAAGTTCATATCTTTTCCGAATCCTTTCTGTAATCTCAGAATTTGGAGGTGATACATGATGGACATCATTTCAATCATGACTTGTTTTATGCACCTTCATTACAGGACATCTTATAATAGGATGGTTTGTTCTTGCATCTCTCAACTTTTAGGCAACGCATCTAAATCTAGATCGTATTATATATCTCATGTGAAAGACTTCCCTACGGTAATCAAGGTGTGGGTGCTGAACAATCTGCATTCGTGTGTTTTCGGAGTGAGAGACAAAAAAGTGAACGCACAGGTGACCCTCCAGGGTGTTGCATCCATTGCCACCTCGGAGGACTGGTTTTACATGTGTGAGAGTGTCAGCGCCACCCCCATGCCTACGGCATCGCAATTCTGTTCGCAGCACTTGGGAGCTTTGAGGAGTCACCAGACGGTGCAGCACTCAGGGGGCACAGCCTTTGCTGAGAGAAGTCCAGGGCTCGCACGAGGCCGGATGGCTTCAGAGTCGCTGGAGCCCCTTCAGCCAGCCTACTTCGTGAAGTGCGGCCGGCAAGTGCTGCACAAAGTGCGGAGTTTCTGGGAGGGTTGTTTTAGTTAGAATATTCCTGGCAGCAAACCTGCAGCGAATCTCGCCGCCATCGGAGTTCTTGCACCTTGCAAACCTTGCGGTGTGTGATGTGATCACTGTGTCGCTGTATCGACGAAACTTGGGCATTGCAGGTGGTGCCGCAATGGACGAGGCAAGTTGAGGCGCTCGCAGAAGCCCGCTAAAGTCGAGCCACATCGCAAGGAGGAAGTTGCCTTCACACTAAATGCCCTGTCGGCCGCTGGCCTTTGCCAACCGCCTTTGGTTACTGTCGGGGTCTTACGAAAGTCGCAGAGGCTTCATGGGATTCTTGGTCAAGGCCGTTTAGTCGGCGCAGGCCAAACTGAGGCCGCAGTCTCACCCATGTCTGAATGTTGTGGAGGTACGTTGAATGGAAGGAAGACCTGAAGGCCATTGTTTGGAAGGCCGCTGCTTCAACGCGGACTGTTTGCTGTATCAGTTTTTGCAGAAACAGTAGGGAGAGGCGTGTGAGATGCCTAAGTGACATGCACGGGCAGTGTGCTAGCTTGAGCACTTGGAGATTGTATTGCAGGACCATGAGGAGAGCGCAAAGCCTGCAGGAGTCTTCCCAGTGTGGAAGATTCAGGAGAAGTTTGGACGTGTTTCTTCCAACTGATATGTGTGTGTTTTGTTAGACGGAGATGTTCGAACAGTCCTCCAGTCAATTTGTATGAAACGAGTCAGGAAATCGTATCGAGATGGGCTATACGTGCAGCATCATGCAGCTTTGAAGGATATTGTATTCAGGACATATGCGTCGGCAAGCATACGCCTGTTCTGCAAGAGGCAGGATCTGCAAGAAACGTCATACTATTGAACGGTTGAACCCTGGCCGGGCACCCATAGGCTTTTCCTTGTCACCTATTGGCGCAGGCGGAGAAACCGAAGACATCTTGCTGCCTGCGGTCTAGAGGCGTGCAATGCAGTAGATTCTTTTGGAGAGCTGCGTCGGACTGAGCTATGCTTCACAGGCCGATAAAGATGGCATATACTCCCACTACTCAAGTGATACCCTCGCACGTCCTGGCTTTTTGGGATTGAGTTGAAAATGGCCTGACTTGTTCACAGGCCTCAAAGCGAACCGAGCGAAGCGGGGAGCCAGGCGCTCACAAGCTGAAGCTCCACCTGGTGGTGTCCGCCCGTGTCTCAAGCGGCTGAGCTTCGGATCGTTGAGACCAAGCCAGAGGCTTCGCCTTCATGGCATCCACTGGCCTGGGGGGACCCACTTTTGCTTTGTTTTTTCTCCGATACCCATCCTCTGTTGTGGGCAGGTCAGCAGGTTTTGGGTTGGAAAAACAAGGCGCTGGCTACCAGGAATGAATCTGTGCTAACAGGTCATCGCGGAGGACCGCACGCTGGATTTGCAGGCGGTGGCTTTGAGAGGCAAAGATTTGCTCAAGAACTAGTCTTCAAGGTTGTTCGCAATATCCTGTAAGTTGGCGAATATTCGCAGTGAGCGTGGTGGTTAATGGGAGCACATGGAATTGTTTGAGTCATGTGTTTCGGTTTGGTAGATTCATGAGGACGACTTGCAGGGGGAGTGCTGGGTGCAGGCTGAAACAGCCGAGCAGCACAAGCGATGGGTCTTTCTGGCAGCATTGATGGGGCCAGCGACCGATGTTTTGAACACAGCAAAGTGGTAAACGTGCGGGCAGTGGGCAATTGCAATTGTCTGATTTGGTGCCTCTGTTGCTTATGACGAGCCGAACCAAGCAGGAGTTGATGATCAAGCTTAGATGGAGCTGATGATCAAGTTGATGATCAAGAACCCATTCTCGAAGAAAGTATGCTGAGTTCAAATGCGAACTGTCCCGTGCTCCCGCAAAAAAAACACGACGCCTTGAGGCGACTCTATCTCTCTCTCTCTCTCTCTCTCCCTCTCTCTCTCTCGCCAGGCAGAGGGCCTCGTGGCAAGGTTCCGTGCCCATGCCAGGAAGCCCAGGGACTGCAGCCTCCATGAGAAAATGGTGACCCATCATTAAGGGTGGGCGAATTGCAATTTCCTGCTGCCATTTTTTTTTTTTTTGGGGGGGGGGAGGGGGACCCTCTTTGGAAACCCCTGTAGAAGGCACCAAGTCTGACACCAAGAATCGGTCCCACAAGGCAACCCAGGCACACTTGCTCCGAGGTTCGCAGTGAGCATTCCAGTGAGGCGGGAAACATGTTAGTTGAAATCAGGGTTGCCTATGATTCCAAGACTCATGGCTAGCACGTCGGTCTAGAATCCAATGCCGTCGGGTTGCACACACGGGTTTGACTCAAACTGAAGGACCCCTCTACTTGGCCAATTTGCTTCACTTGTGAGGCATTTGCCACCGACGAAAAGGCTCGGAGCCGATTGAGCCACGTTTGCGACATGTGGGATGATCCGCGGATTCCCATGTCGCGAAGTGGTCTATGGCGGTTTCTTTCCTTTGGTGCCCAAAATCAGCGATTGATCTGTGCGAGACATGTGACTTGATCTCGGGTTTCAGTCAGTAAGCTGCACAGCTGCAACTTGTAGGTGAACTATCGGACCTATCCAGCCAAACTCAGGACCGTGCACCTGTGCACAGATTGGAGACCCAAGTCGAGTCTTTAACTGAATCCTTTTCAGGCCGAAACCGATGTCACGCACACATCTGGATTTGCACAAATTATTGGGCTTCAACTGGGTTTGGGTGTGGGTCTTGGGTCTGGGTTTGCATCTTAAGCAAGCCCCGATGCTTTGCAGCAATTTGATGGAGTTTGCGGCTGGCTTTTGCTTTGAGAGGAGTGATCGATGTGAGCTGCGCCTGGCGTGTGAGAAGCTGCAGGCCAATCAAGAAACGTGCGGGGGACATCTTGACAGGTATTTACGGTAGTCTCCACAAGCAAACATGGAAGTGCATAGGAACTACAGGGCATTCGGGCTCAAAAAAGCTCTTGAGGCTTTCAGTTTGAAAAAGCCAACCAGGAAACCCCCCAACATTTTTGTGGTGGCCCTTTGGGTGACAGACATTTCACCGTGCCGATGGCCTGCAGGCCATGACGTCCTTCAGCAACACAGTGCAGGCCGGGCCAAGGGGTCACGTGTTGCATGTGGTTTTTCGGTGTTTCTGGCGGGTTAAGGTTTTCACCTTGGCTCAGGGGGAAACCAAAAGACTAAACGACCATTTTGTTGGGGTCCCCTATTTTGACACATTGACGTACCCATGCGGGCTTTGAAATGGTTGGGCACATTTCACGGGGAATGCAAGCCAAATGAATGGTGAGTTTCAATGTGTCAAATGCTGCCACTCATATGGGCATGACTCGGTTGGAACACCCTCCAACATGATTGGTGAACGGGAATGTCCATGCGAAGGATGTCCACCAAGGGGCCCACGGTTCAAATTTACACTCATCCGGGTAATGCTTTGTGTGTTCAGCCATTATTAACGTAAGCGACTCGAGTAGTCCATTGATCCACAGGAAGTGTAACGGGACGTGTATGCAAATGGTACACTTGTTTACTGAAGCTCTAGCCTACGGCTTGGGTTGTTTTCTTGGTACCCTGCTTCTCCATGTCAGGCCGACTCTCTCTCTCTCTCTCTCTCTCTGTCTCTCTCTCTCTCTTTCTCCCTCTATCTACCAATATATTATATATATATATATGAATATCATACACACATATGATGCCCCCCATCCCACCCCAATGGACCCAGGTTTTATATAGCTGTGTTGCATTATTGAGTATTTTGTGGCAGAATTGGGGGAGGGGGTGCATATATATATATATATATATATGTATATATACATATACATACACACACATACATACATACATACATACATACATACATACATACATACATACATACATACATACATACATACATACATACATACATACATACATACATACACATGTAGTGCAAGCAACAATATCACCATTTGCAAGGTGTTTGCATGCATCTTAGGGATTTTGGGACTCACTATATATATATATATGTATAAATGCAAAAACACATACCAGTAGAGCCGGCGGAGGTGGGCGGAAGTTTCTAAAGAGAGAAGACTGCCTATAGGAAGAGCTTGGCTTGTTTCCCCCCCCCCCCCCACTCTTTCTTCCTTTCTTTCTGTCGATTTTTCTTTCTTTCTCCTCTCCCGACATATTTCCTTTTCAATTTGAGGAGGGTCTCAAAGCGCCCAGAGCAAAGTCAAACGTAAGAGTGTATCTTTTGGCCTCAACACGTGCACAAGAGACAACCCCAAACTAACAGAGGGAGCCAAGACAGGGGGAGTCGTAAGTCGCAAGAGTGTATCTTTGGCCTCACACTGTGTGCAAAAGACAATCCCATCCCATGCGACTTTCAGACTTTCGAGTGGCTCCGGATACCACCCCTAAACTAACAGGGGGGGGGGCGCAATACAGGGGGGTTCAAGACAGGGATCGCCCAACCGAAAGCTGGTAGCTTGGATTTCCCTAATTTTGTCCGCTAACTTTTGTCACACTGCACGTGCACCAAGACGAGCCTTGACCCGGGCAGGGGGGGAAGGCATAGAACGGCCCGGACTCAAACCCAAACTGCACGAAGTGTTTTTTTGTTTGTCTTGGGTCTGGTGGCGTCGCCTTTTAGTTAGGGTCTGGGGACTCGCCTTTCTCTCTCTTTCTTTCTTTCTTTCTAGCTTTCTTTCTTTCTTTCTTTCTTTCTTTCTTTCTTTCTGTCTTTCTTCATTTATTTCTTTCTGTCTCTCTCTCTCTCTCTTTCTCACTTTCTTTCTTCCTTTCTTTCTTTTTGTTTCTCTCTCTCTCTCTCTATATGTCTGCTGTCTTTGTTTCCTTCTTTCTCTCTCTTTCTTTCTTGTTTTTTTTTTTTAATTCATTTTTTTTAAATACTTATTTCTTTCTTTTTATTTCTTTCTCTCTTTATTTCTCTCTCTCTCTCTTTCTTATTTTCTTTTTTGCTTTGTTTCTTTTTATTTCTCTCTCTCTCTCTCTCTATGTGTCTTTCTCTCTTTCTTACTCTCTTTCTTTCTTTCTTTCTTTCTTTCTTTCTTTCTTTCTTTCTTTCTTTCTTTCTTTCTTTCTTTCTGTCTTTCTCTCTTTCTTTATTATTTCTCTACTCGACCTATCTATCTGTCAATCTATCACCTCACCTTGCGAACGTGCTGCGCCTGCCACGAAATCTGTACTTCACCTTGCGAACGTACTGTGCCTGCCACGAATTCGGTACTTGACCTTGCGTTGCGTGGCTGCAAAACGCTGCGCCTGCCGCGCGATTTGCACCTCAGGTTGCCAACGTGCTGCGCCTGCCACGCGATTTACACCTTAGTCTCTGTTTTTCTCTCTCTTTCTCTCTCTCGCTCTCTTCCTATCTATTTATCTATTTATCTATCTATCTATCTATCTGTCTGTGTATCTATCTATCTATCTATCTATCTACCTATCATCTGACCTTGCGAAAGTGCTGCGCCTGCCACGAAATCTGTACTCGACCTTGCGAAAATGCTGCGCCTGCCACGAAATCAAAATCTGTACTTGACCTTGCAGGCACACAAATTCTGCGCCTGCCACGAAATCTGCACCTCAGGTTGCCAAAGTGCTGCGCCTGCCACGCGATTTGCACCTCCGAAGCAGTCTGCGCGGCCGTGCCATTGGGGATCTTTTCGACCCCGTGGCGACCCCGTGCGAACCCGCACGCTGAACAGAGGTACCCTTCGCGATTCTGATCAACTTTACCTTCTGATTCTGATTCTCATCAACTCTATCTTCTTATTGTGATCAACTTTTCGTATTACGGAAATTGTCTAACTAAACTTCCTTTGGTCATAAAAGAACAGGTGCCAGTAGTTTGTGTTCTTGCTGGGATCGAGTCGTTGTTTGTGGCTCACGTTTGGGGACTTTGGCCGCAGGTCATGCAGGGGATGGAGTCGAAGGCCAGACTCTGCACAAAGCTTTCACATCACGCCGGCCTGGAAACGAAGCTGCAAGTTTCAGCTCGGGACACTTTGGTGGACGTCTATGGGGAGCCGGGGACAAACTTAGAAGCACCCATTTGAATAAAGGCCTTCTTGTTGATCCAAACTCTTTTGGTGGATCAAGTGGTATAAAGAAGCCTCTTTTGTGGATCAAGGTATCTGAAATAGATCGTTTGGTGGATCAAGAGGTACAGAGAGATCTCTAGTATGGAAGTCGCAAAACAACCGTTCTTGCGTATAGAGGCTTATGAAGAAAGCCACTTCTTGTGTGGGACAAAAGGGTGAAAATGGAACAAACCTCTTTTTGTTGATAAAGGTGTTTGAAATAAACCGCTTTGGTGGAATGAATGGGTATTGCTGATCAAGGTTACAAAAAACCTGTCTTGTGCATAGGGGGTATTTGAAACAACAACCGCCTGCCACTGCCGCTGACCAAATCCGCATTGATGAGGGTCTACAAAAGAATAGATCAGAGGTTGTGGACTACTGAAGAACAGCCAGCAAGACGGAAACAACGGTATGGGCTTGCTGGATGACCAGAGCAAAATCTCTAACGTGAGCATGAGATAGATATAGACTACATGGTCCAGGTAGAAAGCCAAGTAAGCATCATTTTTGCCGGTTGACTCCGTCGCGGGATCGGCTGGGGATTTGGGATTGGTGTCGGGCAGTTGAGGGTTTGTTTAGGGTTGGCTTAGGATTTGGTTGGCTGGTTTGAGTTGGCTTACTGGTTGGTTTGGGGCTTGGCTACTTAAAGCTTGGTTTGGGATTGGTTCAGGGTTGGTTTAGGGTTTAGGGTTGGTTTAGGGTGCTAAACATTCTTCCAATTATCGCCTACATAAAGAAATCACTTTTACACACTTCTTGACCCCCTCAGACAGAATTATATTGAGGCATTCCGAAGCTTGGTTCTCATGTCATAATCGATTCCTTTTCAGAGAACGGAGTGGAGGTTGTAGAAGGCTGAAAGAAGCCTGCAAAGCGAAACAACGAAAGGGGCTGCCTTTTGCATACCTCGTTGCAGAAGCACGAACAAGGACTCGAACCTCCTAAGGACTAAACAGGGCGCTTCTCTTTTCAACGCAAGCAGGATTCTACAAATGGCCCACAGGAACCTCTGCCGGATGTAATCCCATGTGCGACAGACTAAGATTCAACCTTCTCAAAGGGCCTTGTTTTCCCATAGCCCCCCTTCTACAGAAGCAGCTTGATGTGGTCGAGGGTAGAATCGAACCCACTCAGGGGCCAAACTTAACACACCAGCCAAACACTGGCAGGATTTTGGCCCTAACATCACAAGTGAAGCTTGTACGAAGAGTGCACTCTTGCACTGCCGGCACCCACAATCTCTAACATCGCAATTGCCTCTCCATACGTATATATATATATATATGTATACGAACAAAGCAAGAGTGGCAAACATCTTATGGATAGGGCCTTTGGTGGATGGGCAGCTTGATGGTGCATGGGGTTTTCGGATGGCTCGCAGGATTTGGAGGAGCCGAAGCCACGGAGACCGTCGCTCATAGAGCAGGCCTCGCTGCTTGGGTGTCAGCGGAAGATGCTAGGCGTTGTTCGGTCAGCGGGGTGTGTACATGAATGAATACCTTTACGGGGGATTTAAACAGCCATTGCCGGGTTCCTTTTAGAAGAAGCCATGACCATGACCGGAGGGCTCATGCTCATTGGGAGTTGATCAAAAGGTCCTCGCAAAGACCTATGAGAGGATTCAATCAACTGGCGCCAATTCCTGTCATTTAGAGTTCGGATTGGCAGTGTTTCGTTTTTTCTTTGTTGGGGGGTGAGGAGTTCTGAGCGATCCCTCTTGCATAGAACACTGCCGCTATGAAGCTTAAAACGGCGCAGTCCAACCTGCCCGCAGGCCTCGCTACAGCTTTTGTCCCTGATTTCTAAGCCCTGCTGTGGGTGCTCACTTGAGCCCCCAGTTTGGCCCCGAATTTGCTCAGCTAGACAGAGGCGGCCTTATGTTCTTTTGCGCTGGGGTCGTCCACTCGGCGAAAAGTTGTCTATTGACGCAAAGTGGTCGATGCAGTGGTTGGTAGCCTTCCAAACACAACATGTTGAGGGTTCAAAGTCCGTCGGGTGTTAAAGGTCATTGCGAAGCGCATTGCGAACTTGCACTTCTCATGCTGCTTGTGATCGGGTGTGCTTGTCACCTTGCTTTTTGACAGATCATGTTTCAACCCTCTAGCGCAAACATGCGCTTCAGCGTCCTTGCGCGCGTGTTAAGCAGCGGGAGGCAGAATCGTTTGACGCTGCGCAAACCTATACAGAACCAAGTCGTCATCGCTGTATGAATGCGTGTTGTAAATGCTAGGGTGTTCTTGTTGGGATCGAACCATGTTGTCCGTGGCTCACGTTTGGATATTTGCTGACCAGCGCTTTGGCCAACGCAGGCCATGAGTGAGGCGAAGGCTGGACTCGAGCGCCTTTCGCGGAGTTGCGTGCCGCAAGCTTTGAAGGCCATAGGCAGCCAGCGCAACTGGGCGTTTCCGAACTTGCCCACTAAAGCCAATGAGTCCCCGGCAGTTTGTCTACAACCCCATACGCTGCAAGTGGTTTGGGGGGGTTCACTACTTGGCTACCTCAATTTCAGCAAAAATCAAAATAAGAATGGACGGCAGCCCCCTTTTGGTGGGGGGACCAAAGATAATCAACGTGCAGGCCACAATATCTTGTTGGTTCCTTTTTGCGCTCTTCCACTGCAGAGGCGTGCAGATTCTGCGGCCAGCCGCTTCCGCTGTTGGACAACACCTGCGCCAGCTGCTTGCAACCACAGGCCGGGGGCAGAACCAAAAGCCACACAAAACGCAACCCCGCCATAACGACAATATATATGATAGATCCTAAGCCCACTGGACAGCCACTAGCCACATGCTCAGGCCAGAATTGGATCGAGTCGAACGGACTTGGCAAAAAACACATCCTCCTTCTCATAAAATGACCAGACATGTTGGTTTCTGAAGAGAACAATGGGTGAAACGCATCGGGGGGTCAATCTTTAGAATCTTGTGGGGGATAAAAAGGTATTCGTGTGAAAGAAGCAAGCTGTTTGAGGACAAGGTCGTAGGCAACAAAGCCGCGAGCTCCACACTGTCACAGGATGCAAAGCCTCCAAGACCGTCGCTGCGGGATGAGGCCTCGCGTTTGTGGCGTTGGGTGTGAGGGGACAACATTATGTTTTGGCGGGCATGAGCATAAATGTTGCGCGGCCTGCAGCGTGTGGTATATTGTCATGTTCATCTTCCGTTTGCTTTGGAGTGCAAGGTCGGTGCCTGAATAAACATATGCGTTTCGAGAAACTAGACGACTTGCGCCGCGTTCGCTCTGAGGTCACTATTCAATGCAAGGGGCAGGGGCTGGTTCACAAAGGGCCGGACAATCAATATATTTGTGCGAAAGGTCCGATGGGGTGCAAAAGGATGCTGCTTCAGGCATATTAGTATGTTTGGTCACCCATCGAGGCACATCCTCACAGCCTCCCCCCCCTCTCACCCCCTCCCCCCGTCGTCACGCGCTCACGCCCCATTTGCCCTCCAGACACAATTTGTTCATTGCGACATAGCAACCCTCCCCTTATCCGCATCCTACCTCACATCTTCCATCATCTTCCCCCCGTAACATCTCCCCCTACTCGCTCACATCCCTCGGCCAAGTAAGTGCCCCCTGTTGTTTGTCAAACTATTCAACTGTCCTGAACATCGCCGCAAGTGAGACTTCTTGGTCGGCGCAAGTGAACCCATTGCTGCAGGTCGTCCGAATTTCGTCTCAACAATGAAGGCCTTGGATGGGACGGAGCCGGCACTCGGTCCTTTGGCGAATCGGTGAGCGGGCCTTTTGGCCCGCTATGCTCCACAGTGTTGCCATTAACTTGTCCCGGTCTAGTTTCATCAGCAGCATCAAGCTATTTGAATTGGCCTCAAGTCCTTGATTTAAATTGCCTGCATCTCACATCATTTCACTGCGCAGGTTCGGATTTTGTCTCAAGCAGGACGCCAGACACTTGGAAGATGCTAGCTGCATTCAGTCAGAATGGCTGGGCATTCTAGAGTCAGCTTGTGCATGTCGGGGAGTCACATTTTTTTTCTGCCAGCGTCGAGCAGTACGACACAGCATGAAGTGTGCCGTATGCGTGATCCGCTCTTTGCATTTTGGCTTGAAGATGGCAGAACCATTTGCAGTTCTGAAGCTGGCGCAGCCGTTTGCCCATGGGCTCATCGAAATCCTCGTCAAGCTCGGAGAAAGTGAAGGAGAAGAAGAAGGCTAAGAAGGAGAAGACCAAAAAGAAGGAGAAAGGAAAGAAAGACAAGAAGGAGCGTCAGTCCTGATATCTTTTCCACGTTGCACTGCTGAGTGTCATGGACAAAATCTGGCAACAGTTGGGATGGACAACCCTGAATGCTGGGGTAAACCACCCAGAAGGACAAGAAGCAGAAAAAGAAAGACAAGAAAGCCAAAGAGGACCTTCCTGCTTAGTAGTCTTGGAGTCAGCGACTTGCGGCATGGGTACATGGTCTGCGAGAAATCCACTCGTTCAACATTATACGACACAGTTGCGACACATTCATGGACACAGTTACGATTTGTCGCGAACGCAGCTTTGCAGTACAAGAGTCATGCAGGAAGAGTTGGAGCGGCAGAGCTTCGAGGCTGCCTTGGCCGCTGCGGCCGCAGAACGAAGCAAGTTGGAAGAGGCGGCTCCAGAGCAAACCGGAGAAGGAAGCAAACGGACTCTTGGATGGAGGTCATGACTAGCTGGAATTGGAATTGCTATGGGGCTTGCCACTGCCTTGATATCTAAATCCTACAATTTGTCAAAACAAAAAGTCAAAGAGGTTATGGCGCTTCTCACGTGTTGATTGGAATTGTGGCTGCCTGTTCACAGTCATGGCACCACAATCCTAGTTCGCAGTTGATGCAAGGAGAGGAAGTGAAAAGCAAGGAAAGCTCCCGAAGCTGGAAAAGAAGGACTTGAAGGACACAGGGGGCTGGTGCTTATTGCTGTTGAACAGCTTGAGTCGGAGCATCATTTCTGTCTTTAACGTGAACAAAGAGTGAGGTAGCAAAACCCTTGCGTCATTTTGCAGGAGACGGACAAGGCAATGCCTGCGGTGCCTCAGAAGGGATCGGGTGAAACAGCTGTCCTTGACGCGTTTTCCTATGACCCTACAAAGAAGACTTCGGGGGATTACTCAAAGCCTGACGCGTTGTCCCTGGCAAACTCTGGTCTGGACATCCAGCGCGCCATATACCAGCATGACCGTAGCCAGTACACTCCAGAGCAACTTCGGCGTGTGGACGAACTGACAAGGATGAGCTTCTTCATATGCAAGTAGAGATGGGAGGGGCCTCAGGGAGCACGCCCGGAAAGCTCAATCTGTGGCTTCAGCCCGTGTGATGGAAGATGGGCTTGAAGTTGCTCCGACAGGTCTGGAAGTTCGGAAATTGACCTGAGTGCAGATCGCGGTCGCAGGATTGCTTCAAGCCGTTGAGGAGATAGAGCCGCTGTGCCTTACTCAACAAGGCCAACAGGATCGAGCAGTTTCACTCAGGGAAAAGTGTGGTAGGAGAGCGTGTCCTTGACAACATCCGGACTCTTTGAGGAGCATGCATTTGTGTGTGTGTGTGAGCGACCCAGGGCACATGGTCAAGCCATTCAAGAACGACCCTTTGCAGAGACATTATGTCAGCATGGGCTTGGTTTCTTTGACTGTCCAACTTGTTTGCAATGCTATGCGGAATGTGGCAAATCACGATCAACCACACAAGCACAAGAGGACTATCGACTCCAGTAAAGACAAAGGATGGTTGAGAGAACCCATATTAACAACCAGAGAGGGCGCGTTCAATCTGGGAGTTCAAAGATTGCAGCGATTGCTACTTGGTGTAAAAAGATCTGTATTCTTTGCCTAAGGCCTTTTCCAGTCATCTGCCGCTGCGGCCGAGGTTCTATGTTTCACAGAGTGGCAGGCAATTATAGCAGCGGATCCCGCAGAAAGTGTGCATGGCAGCCATTGAGGTGCAATCTACGAGCAAGAGGCTCTCTGCCAACATAGATGCTGCCATGTGGCACGATTCATAGTTGTAGATAGGCTGCAATGTGCGCCAAGTACGTAGGATGCCTGGAGAAACTCCGGTCCATAGCATTGCAAAACTGCAAGCGCCTGTAAACAAGAGCAGCTTAGGGCATGCAGCCGATCAGTCATGCAGCGTGACTTGCCATGCCATTTGGTACCGTTTGTATTCTGCCAGGGTTACTTTCAAAAGGGACATCCCAGCCGATGGAGATTCTCACTTCTCACGAAGAATCGGAGATGATTTCCCTTTCGAGACCAGCGTTCTCGGGGTGAAGCAGTTTGGGTGCAGGTGGCAGGTTGCTGAAGGTGATAATAATGGTGCCAGTAAAAAGGAAAAGGCTGTTTTGGGGTCTGGAGGTTGGCTTAAAGGTGTTCTGAGATTCTGCTGAATCGTGTGCCCTAAAGCTGCTACATCTGTGCCTCATATATGAGTCAGACTTTTGCATGTAGCTCCCAGCAGAAACAACATGAATGACGAAGCATGAGCTGCATGATCATGGAGTGCAGACTTCCATCCTGGCCAACATGGGAATGACATGCCAATCTGTGGGCTATGTTGTGCAATCGTCTACAATGTTGCAGTTGTGTTTGATGGGACTGCTCCAACATGTGTCGTGTTAAGCCAATCGGTACTTCCTGCCTCCATTTGGTCAGAACATGCCCCAGGTTCAATGCCTTTTTGGAGAGGCAGCTTGGCCACTCGGAGCCTGCCATGTCCAGCGGCCTTGCGATCAAGGACTTCAACTATGCAAAGCATGCGGCGTTCTTCAAGAAGCATGCCGCGTCCTTGCCAGAGCAGTACAAGCTCATGGACACCAACCGGCTGATGCCAGCTTAGTGAATGGAAGCGAAGCGCAAGCATTGCAAGGCCTTCAGGATCAAAAGCTGAGCGAACACAGTGAACTAGGCGTAGATGGAAAATCCAGACAGGTGCCTGACAATCAAAGCAACTGGCTGGCTCAAAGTACCAAGCAGCTGTAGCATGCCTTCGGAGAACCGAATCTCGGCTTTTGCTTGGAGGGCTCACGGTGAGCTGAGGACATTGCTCTACTTCAGTGTCTCTGGCCTGGATCTTCTGGGCAAGCTAGACCAACTAGACCGTGACGCGACAGTGGAGTACATCTACTCCTTTCAGTCGGATTGCCCAGACCATGGTGGCTTCTACGGCTACCCCAAGGCGGGCTTAGGTTGCCCATGCTGGCGGATTCTTCCGCTGGCAAGTGGTGACGGCAGTTTGTTTGTTTCTTTGCAAGGCGCGTTGTAAAGGTTGAGCTGGTCGACACCTCGAGGTCTCCTTTGATTCAGAGGATCTGGATAGAGCCAACAACCAGCCTCACATTGCCAACACCTACGTGGCATTGGCGCCCTGGAGCAAGAGATGCGTTTCAACTTGTTTCAACGTCGGAGATTCCGAGCTTCGCGCTGAGATTCAGAATTTGGCTTAAGCCGACACTGCAATTATCTCCCCACAAAGCCTGGAGGCCACGATAGAATCAAGGGTTTTGACATCGGCTCTCTTTTGGATTTGTCTCAAAGTTAGGATACCCCAATGCTGGCTGGTTTCCTGTTGACTTCCATCTGAAAGCAACTCTGATTTGTTTTGACACACCCAGGTGATGCTCCTGATCTTGAAGGACGACCTGAGCCGCGTGAGGTGCAGCGCAGTGGCCGCCTCCCTGCGAAGGTGGCAGCTGGAGGACGGCAGCTTCTGCTGCGTGCACTGCCTCTCCAGCCTGGACTCTGAGAGCGCCACTTGAGCTGAAACACCGGGAGAAGGCAGTGCCATGGGCCGGGTCAAAGGCCAATGCTGGAAAAGCCGGAAGCGGGGGCTTGAAGGGTTGATGAAACGTGCCCCTTGCGTTTGCGTTGGTGGGTGCTCGTTGTCAATGTTGCCGCTGATGTTGCTTGCGTGCAGGTTTTGCACAGCAGACGTGATATGGCTTGTCAACCGTGTACACACCAAGGATATTCGCTTCGTGTACTGTGCTGCCAGCATATGCTACATTCTGGATCTGTGGCATGCGGTGGATGTGGAGGCGTGCATGCAGCAATGCTCACTGACGGTTTGATCGCCCAATTGTTTTTGGGGTGAGCGCCCCAAACGGGCACATTGTCCACAAGGAGGTCCGCTTCCTGCTCTGGTCATTACTTGAAAAGAAGCACTGCTGCTGATGTTGGTGTTGTTTGGCTTTCCGAGCAGTGCTCCACCTCAACATACCAGCTGCCATCGCAGCTTGATGTTTTTTTTTTTGGGAGTGCATTTTGAGGTACATGTTGCATGTTCGTCTAATGACAAGGGCTTCAAAGGACAACCAAATGGATGCTGTTGCCATTTCAGGTTCTGTCAAAGTTTCCAGTAGTCTTTGGCTCATTTGTGATGGAGATGGGGAATTCACTAAATTTCTCACACAAAAACAAAATAGAGGACTCTTGGGGGGAAGGGATCATTGTCTCATTTGGCTGTGGGTCAAAATTAGGTGCCCAAAATGGAACCCTGATAAATGGAGCCAAAGACTAAAACCTGCGGTTTTTTGTGGGTTTGTTTTAACCCAGCTCCCATTTGGAGCTGTCTGGAACGGAGGCCATGGCTCGCTTCGTTTATGCCTCGCAAAGCTTCGACGGCGCCTTCGGCATGGGCCCGGAGACGGATGCTTGAGCTGGAGCTGCGTTGGGCTGGAAATGGAATGGACTTGGGCGGAAGGGCATAGAATGGAATGGGATGAATGGAATGGAATGGAATGAGAGAGTGTATGGAGATTGGATACTTCGGTCAGCGCCCAGGAATCCCACGGCGGTTGCACCTACTGTGCCGTGGCCTGCCTCAGTATGCTTGGGCGACTCGACGACTTGGATATGCTGCAGCTTTTGCACTGGCCGCTCAGCTCAGAGTTCTTGGAACAGGTGTGTTTTGTAAAGGGGCACGTTGTCAACTATTTGGAGCCCCCTGTTGATTCTATGATCTTCAACGCAAATCTTCATGTACCCGTGTACCATCTTTCCAACAATCATGGAATCTGAGAGGGTTTTGGAATCCTGAACAGGCGCCCTATCGATTTGTTTAGAAGGGTACGGACCCTGAGCGTTTGGAACGTTGGGTGGCAGTGGACCTGCCACTTTTGGACTTGGCCGCGCGGACTTTGGAAGGGTTGTGGACCCCCAAAGGCGACTCAAACTCTTCCCAAATTTGACTTCGGCTTGACCCAGCCAATCCAAATCGGACCATGGCTTTAGCCTGTGAGGTGTGTCCACCGCCAGCAGAGCGGCTTCCAGGGCCGCATAGAGAAGGAACCAGACAGCTGCTTGTGGAAATGAGGCGGAGCACTTTTTGTGCTGGTCTGTTTGTTGGTTGGTTTTGTTTTTGGCTCACCAGAGACTCCGGTTTCTCTGAGTTTGCTAAGGCTGCTACTCCTTCTGGGTGGGAGGCACTCTGCAGATGCTGGGTGCCGATGCCTTCTTGGAGCGCCAAAGTTGCGCTCGATTCCTCAAAACCTGCGAATCCGGCGGCTCGGAATGCCGAACTCGGCGACTTTCAGATTTGAGATAGTTCGAGTTTCCAGTTTCCGCTCCCCACTAGTTTGCTTTCTTCTAGCGAGGGATGAACGGAACTAAGTTATCATTGAGGACAGAGCTGGGTAGATGCCTGAGGAACTTAGTTCTAGCTGCTGTGTAGAATCCCAAGCCTAACACATTTGTTCATCCAGAGCTTCGCCCACTGATTGCTCAGGCTATGGCGGCTTCCAGAAGTTTCCAGACGCCGAGTTCCCGGTCTCATGGCTTGATGTAACATCCCCAAGCTCCAAGATGAGCACCCAAAAAGCTCCCCACAGCCAACCCTCCCCTTGCAATCCATCTTGTTCGAAAAGGGGGATACCTCTTTTGTACCCCATCTTCAAGAACAAACAAGGGCACAATGTTTGGTCAAAAAGTCAGGATCCCTTCTTTTGAACCACCTGCTGAGCGGCCTCCCTCACACTGGCACATCAAGATGACATGTTCCTAGGATCTGCTGCACTCCTACTTCTCGGTGTGCGGCTTGTGCCTCTGCGGTGTGCTGCCGCCTCTGACGGCGCTGCTGGGTTTGTCGGAGGCCGCCTTTGCCGCGGCCCAGCGCAGCGGCGCGCTGAAGGCGCAGCGCGCCCCGGGCGCGCGGCCCTGGCGCCTGCCAGGACGGGTAGGGCGGGGTGCGAGCAGGGAATGTGGCAACTGGACATTCGGGCGTCCATGTGGGCGTTTCCCTGGGGCATGAAGATGAGAGGAGTTGACCTTTGGATTGCGCTCTCTAAGAATCCATGCACCTGCGACTGATCTTTACGACTAGATGAAGCAGCAACGAAGATACCTGGAAAATGAGAGAACTGGGAAATAGAAGCGGGCCTAAAACACCCGTGCGTGAATTCGGTCCTTCCGAATGTGCCGAAACCACCTTGGTCGCGACGTCTGCACGGACGCAGGCTCAAAACGGGCTCGGCGCACGTTCAGAAACCTTCAAAAGTGAAGCCCTGCGGGGGTCGACCCTCAAAAACTCATGTTTGCTTGTTAGAAAAATAAAACAAGAAAAACAAAGCAAAACATGTCCACGTCGATGGGCCGACCTCAAAAAACTCGTTGGTTGTTGCATTCTTCAGCCTGCGCATCCAGCAAAAGGTGAACCCTCTGCGGGCTTTCGGCGGGTCGACCTTCAACCGCTCGTGGTTTTCCGCGTTTTGCACTTGGCTCGCGGAACCCTCTGCGGACTTTCGGTGGATCAGCGTCGAACAATTCGGTGAGAGAGGGAGGGAGAGGCGAAAGAGAGAGCGAGAAAGAGAAAGAGAAGGAGAAAGAGGAAGAGGAAGGGCAAGAGAAAGAGAAAGAAGAAGAAAAAAGAAAAGCAAGAAACAAAAAGAGAGAGAGAGAGAAGGGGAAAAGAAGCATGATCCAAATTATACTTAGAACATTTTGAGAGATCCGCCCCCGGCTCTGCCGGACATTCCTGGTATGGATACACAGGAGAGTCACAAAGAGCAAAGTGAGCATGTTTGGTTTGGTAGTATGTTGCTAGCGGCGCTACGCCAGCCCGGCATAATGTGAGGTTGGGTCAAAATATTAGGCAGTCTCTGGTCCATTTGTCCCACAAAACCAGAAGACTCACCAACTTGTTCATGTCGGCAATTGCACATATTTTTGCAGCCCACGTGGACACTACAGGAAAGCCTGTGGAACCCGAGCACACGGCTGCTGGCGGCTATGTCGCGTGATCTTTGTCGCCGTGCAGCTTTAGACAGCAGAGAAAAGGGGCGACTCTGTCAACATTGATCGAACCCGCGATGTAGTCATCCCTCGCAGCCCTGCCGGCCAGAGGCTCGTTGCCAAACAAGTAGCAAGGACATGTGATTTCAAGATGGCATCAATGAAACCGCAAAGACTGGGTACGTGACAGAAATTGGTTATACCCTGGAACGGTTTCATCCATGTCAAAACGAGCATGAGACTGGCTGTAAGCAAGTGCTTGCATGCAGCGTGATAAGCACTTTGCTCATAAACACAGTTGAAGGGTTGTTTCCAAGCTGACGTGAAGCAAAGCAACCAAACAACAAATTAGCACTGTTTGTCATGGTAGACTGTGTGCGTGTGCGGCATGTTTGTCTTGCTCATTGCGTGGGAGCTCGATTGCATCTCATCTTGTGATGCTCAAGCTTCAGAGCATGACGTTTAGCTACGCGTATGCAGACCCATAGCAGCCTGTGCCAGGGACCTCTGACAAGCTGTTTCTTGACGAGAACTTGAGAGCACATTCGACACAGGGCCGTGGGCGTTTTTGGTAGCATGGCAACAATTCTCAGCTGGGCCGTTCTGTGCCCCCAATTAGACGGCAGGGGCCTTTCTGTCGGCTGTCGCCATGGCGCCCAGCATTGACACCTCCCTGCGAGCCTCGAAGATGGAGAGCACCATGTCGCCAATTGCGATGTCGCCTTTGCATCTGAGCAACAGCCTTCAAGACTCCCCCCGAATGGACAAGACCTTGGGCGAGTTCTCGACTCTGCCGCAACACTACGACGGCTCCTACAAGCCAGCAAGAATGGGCCTACGCCGGGTGCTAGAAGCCGGCCGCATGAGGTGCGGGCCTTCCATGCCGTGCATCACCGTGCGTAGACTTTGCCAGAGCTCTGATCAGGTCCTGCAACATGCCACAAGGGTAGGTTATCTGAGTCGGAACACATTGACATGGCTGTGGGTCTACCATTTTGGGGTAGGTGCACCACCCATTTTAGAACCTATTTTAGTGGTTGGATTGGGATGTTCCCACGGGGTAGGGGCTTTTGCTTTTGACCCATGGCCACATCTCGACCAATCAAAACTCGGGTAGATGAAGGTTGGTAAGGGACAATCCCAGCCATTTTAAAACCGGGTTTTGATTGTGACACATCTGGACGCGTCAGGAACCCGCTGGAGATGCGGCAGTCCCACAGCGGCTGGGTGGAGCGCCGGCCGCTGAGCGCCAGTGGCGCCAAGGCGCGCCCCGCCTCGCCGCGGCAGCCGCTGAGCGGTCGCGCCACCACGGACTTCACCGACAAGGCGCAAAGCGCAGAGAGCTGGGGTCCTTATTTGGCCGTGGGTCAATGCGTACCCAACATGGGACCCTGGTAAATGGAACCAAAGACTAAAACATGCGGTTTTCGGTTTGTTTTATTTTGACCCACACCCATTTGGACGATTTCTAGGGCTGAAAGTCAGAAACTGGGGAGGGTTCCCTTTGCCCCACCACTTGGGGGGTGACTTTAATAGTCAAGTAGTGGCGCCAGGAGAAACATATAGAAATCATAGGCACTACATGGCAACGCCGCCAAAGAAACGTTCTGGAGAGTTTCCTGCAGATGACTTCTGAGACGCGCAAAGGAATTTACTCCGACACTCTTTTGGCGGGAGCCAACTCTAGGGTGCTGCGTTTTTGGGACACGCTGGCAATCAGCCAACAATTGCATGAACCATCATAAACCGCTACATTCGGGCTTCAATTGTGAAGTAGCTTCCAAGGGCGCTCGCAGATTATGTGTGTATATATATATATATACACATACAACTATATACATGTATACATACAACTATATACATATATACATACAACTATATACATATATACATACAACTATATATATATATGTGTGTATAACTACGTATATATATATATATATATATATATATGTGCCGGTCAGTATTTGCTTGCACTTTGTGCGTGTTGGAGTTCAGGTCGCTGCGAACACCAGCACCGCAGCGGCAGGTGCGGGCGTAGCCTACAGGCCACCAGGCATGCTGCAGCCGCAGCGCATCGAGCTGCCGGGCTATTTGAACACACCCGCCAGGCGGGGCAACAGGCGACAGGAACCGAACATGTGTTTGTTTCTTCTTTTCTTCTTTTCTTCTTTTCTTCTTTTCTTTTTTTCTCTTTTTTGTGGTGCAGGCACAGAATCATAGGGAACGGCGAATCATAGGGAAGTTTGGCAAGTTTTCTGTGAGCTTCGCTCGCATGTCACTTGGGCTGCTTGAACAACCTATCCTTGTTTATTGAGGGAGCGGGTCGTCTCAAGGGCCATGGCCATGACCCAAGTGCTGACCATGTAATGCTTTCATAGAACATGTCCTCAAAGGTTTTCAGCACATCCACTGAGCAGGCCGATTTCTTGTCAGGTGCAGCACCTTGAAACCACACTCAAAGCAATCTTTATGGGGCACAACTGAGCATTGGAGCCTTTGTGCAACTCGTTCAACCCAAACCACACACACACTTAAACTCCAGATGGAGGGTGCTAATCTTTCGAGTACAACTGATGAGTCTCGAGTACAACTGATGAGTCTCGAGTACAACTGATGAGTCTCGAGTGGGTGTAGGTTCGGCTTGCAGTCACTTGGTTTCCGTCTAGCAGCGAAAACGTTACAAATTCAACATGAAGCACACACAGCGAGAGAAACAACGGGCCAAAAGGACTTTGAATCACACGAGTTGCGCAGGTACGCTGGGATGATCAGTCCCAGTATCACCACCGATGGCAAGTGTCTTCGTTGGCAGGAGACTTGCCTTGGTGCTCCTGCCCCCTGCGCTCAATTGTGGTGACAGGGTATTCTGCCACTCCGCACACACACGCCCCTCAGTGAGGGGCGGACGTCTTTTGTTGCCGTCGGAAGATCACACAATCGGCTCATCCTTGCTAACGTCTACCAAAATATCCGCTACGTCTGGGAGAGCGCGAAACTGCACGCTCCGCACGAGGCCGCTCAGAAGACGGGGACGAAAGATCTCCAAGATGAGCAAGACGTGTGCCGCCATAGAAGACAGGAGGAAGCTGCAAAGCAGTCGAGCGATCACCGTCAGAAATCGGGGGGGCATAGGTGAACATCTCCTCGACCCGGATGATGTCCGAATTTTGCACGTCAACAAGTGGTTGATCCAGAGCCTGATGAGTGGAGAAGGACTCAAAGCGAGACAGAATGCGTTGGTAACCTTGATGTTGCCAGTCACGAATTGTCCATGCTTGACTGGGTTCACAAGTCCCATCGTCTGGATCAGTTACCCGTTTCCACTCCCGAAACGAGTTGTCTCACCCACTCCTGATCATGCCAGACGGAATATTCGAGCCATGGGTGCTGCTCGGCAGTTCGGGCCGACGTCTGAGTCGTATCATCTATGTCCATGTCGAAGTGAAAGACAGGGCGTACCGCAGGTTCCGATCCAGCTAGCAAGGGAACAGTCACCATGCACAACCTTGCGCAACCATGCACAACCTGCAAACACACATGGAAGCAAGAGCAAGAGAAAACACTCTTTTATGCCATGATCAAAGCGCATCAGTCTATTCATCGCCTAGCTCGAAGATAGGCTTCTCCTTGTTGGTAGAGCTGCATGGTTGTCTCGCAGGCAGATTTGGATCAACGACCCCAATAGACTCAGGTGGTTCAACTCCACGAGATGCACGTGATGGTTGGTGCTGGTAGGACGCTTGACGCGCGCGATCTGATAATTGCTGACAGATCACAGCTTGAAGACGAGTGAGATCATCCGTAGAGAAGGCCGAAGCATCCGAAGATCGAAGAATCGCGTTCAGTGGTGCCTCCCGTGCTGTCACTAGGCCAATACACTTCGAAGTGGTAGAACCTGCGCCATTCCCGATAGGTTGATGTGTCATCCGGAGCCGGTCCCAAGGTGGAGTCGGTGACTGGTTGCCACGGACCGGGCACATAGACTCGAATCCATTCAACTCTTGTGTTCGCAGGGCCATTGACGATGTCGTACTCAAAGTAGCGTGGTAGGGACCATCTCGCAGTGCCAAATATTGTGGAATTGAACATACCAACCGAATAAGCCGCTTTGAGGCAAAAAGGAATCGGCGAAAGCATGGATATGGAGAAAACACAACACAAGTCAAGGCAACCCAAGTTGAAGCAGCAAGCGAATCGGACAACAAGCGCAGCGTTTTAACCAACATGTTGTTCAAGCATCAATCCGACTCGTTCCAATCGAAATTGGGATCATAGCTCGGTGGGGGGGAAGGTCGCCACGCACCATCAGGAACTGAAGACACCGACGAGGAAGTAATTTCTTCATTCACGAACTCCGTCGATCCAATGGTTGGTCGTGGAATGCCAAGGCGTTGATAACGTCGCGTGTTCCAGTCTTGGAATTCCCACACGTAATAGGACACGTACGAAATAGGCATGACATTGGGATCCGCAGCGGTGCCTCCGGTGCTGTCTGTGGGCAAGTACACATCGAAGTGGTATGTCCTGCGCCACTCCCGATACGTGGAAGCGTGGTCCGGGGCTCGTCCCAGGGTGGCAGTGGCCACAGGTTGCCACGGACCCGGTGTGTAAATCCGAATCCATTCCAAGCCTCTCTCGATGTGGCACTCAAAATAGTGCGGACACATGACAGCCAAATGTGTCGTCACAATGCTGTCACAAGGAAGCGCAAAGCCAAGGGACCTGCGGCGAAACACTCATGCCATGACTAACTTGAATGCAATGTGAATGCTGCAAGCGGTGCAACGCAAGGCAACTTTTCAAACTGAAGGCAGGACGAATCAACCAAGTCTGTAGTGTATGGCGGCAATGATTCACCACCGCTGATGACGCGCGCACCTGCAGTGGTAATGTCCTGGTCGGCGACGAACACAGGGAGAAAGACATTTCCGTCCATGATGTAGAAAAGCATGGCAGTAATGCTTGCATCTTGTCGTTACGGACCGTGTTGGACGAGTAGCCCGTTTCGAAGGGAACACAGTGAAGGGCCGCCGAGAACACCGCATGGCAGAGGCGGATGCTGTTCGAGAGCGTTTTGGAGAACGCGTGAGACTGCGTAGATCATCATCACGGGATTGGTCAGCGCTGCAAACTGAGCGGCGTGTGCGCTGAGATGAGATACCATGGTGGCCGGGCATGACTGTCCTCGAGGAGAAGGGCTAGAGGAAGCTCGCAATGAGGGCATAAACTGTGGGTGAAGAATCACCGGTGGTGGTGGTGGTGGTGGAGGAGGTGGAGGCGGAAGAAGTAGTGGGAACCGTGGCGGGGTTGGCGGTGAAGCAGTCAATCGAAATGGTCTGTCAAGCAATGTACCGGGTCCGTGAAACTGTAACCACGTCGGCTGCGCTCCATGGGTCCAAGTTATGAATGTCTGCGCATCTTGCTCCAACATGATTTGAACACTCAAGACCGCAAGACAAGGAGAGGTAAGCGGTTTCAGCCATGCCATCCATGTCTTCCATGCCATCGATGTCATCCATGCCTGCCATCCATGCCGTCAATGTCATCAATGTCATGCATGTCATCCATGTCGCCCATGTCATCATGCCAACAACGTCAGTCTTGACATCCGCGCCCTCCCTGCCATCCATGCCATGAATGCCATCCATGCCATCAACGCAAAGGCTGCCAACCATGTCATTCATGCCAATGAGGAAAGATTCATGCAATCAACCATGTCCGCTATGCAAACCATATCGTCGATCTACAACGTCCACAGAATGCATTGCCACTCTAAGGGAGTTTTTCCGCTCTCATAATGCAAGGTCAACTAAGCGCGAGCCTCAAGCCGCTGGTAGACCTTCCAGGCCTGCTTGACTTCCTCAATGGGCTTCTGAAGGAAACGGGCTATGGTCTTGTAGGTGGGCCTGGAATCCTTGTCCTTTTTGCGTCTGACCATCTCATCGAGTTCACCCTGTGTCCATGCCGTGAACGGTTCAAGATGTACATTGCGAAGGGCAATAGTGAATTCCTGTAGAAGTTCACGAGGTCCATGAACCACCGTCGGAGATGGACGGAACGATGAAGCACCCGGATGTGGACGAACTGAACCGTCCGAATCCGAATCAGGCGTGGTAGACGATGCTTGTCCTGGCTCACGATCGTTGCGTGGGGGATTGGGAGCAAGAGCTCTTAGCGGCGGTAACCGATCCAACATTGTCTCTGGACGTTGACCAGGGTTGCCTTCAGCAGCATCCCGACGTGCGTCACGAGGTGGGGATAGTGCAGGTATACACCAGGTAGAAGAAGTATCCATAGGCCGGGTTCTAATGCGTGCGAGACCGATCTGACGAGATGCGCTCCGTGATGATGCAAGGGCGCAGTCCATGTCTGGAATTACGTGGAGCCCTGGGAGGCATCCGGGGATCGGATTCCTGGCTTCGCTCTGCCGCCAGGGCAAAGTTCAGGGTGTCCAGGGCAGTGGCAACTTGGGATGCGAGGACATTGAGCACCGCCACCAGGTTATTCACGAACTCCGCAGACAGCCACATGGCAAATGAAATCACTGCGAGGGCAACCCAAGCAAGAAGGGCTGCGGAGCAACATAAACAACTCATGCTAACATGCCCTGGTGCACATCGGTGAGCTGAGGACCTTTTGCCGCTGGTTAGCCTTCAACGGTCATATGAAAGACCAGATGGTCGACACGCCGGCATGGCCTTGACTGCAGGGGGGGGGCTTCGGCACGAAAGTGCGATAGTCTGAAGCAGGAACAGTGTGGGCAGGACGGCCAAGTGGACGTCTGTGATGACTACGGCTTCGTGACCGACGCCGATGAGAGTCACGGTGTCTGGACCTTCTTCTCCGTCTGCGTTCTCTGGAAGCGCTGTCACTCACCGGATTAACGCGACCGGCCGGTTCCATCCGGTTGTCTGAAGTGGCCACCAGCGTGATGGGCACTGTTGGATGAGTTGATCTGACCGATGGGGCTTTCAAGGACGGAGGTGCCGATGTCGGTGGAGGCGGCAATGGTGGTTGCCCGCCAGGCGCTGCAGGCGAAGGAGGCGGCTGTGGATGCCGTTGCTGACCCTCGAGACGTTGTAGTCCAGCCACAAGGATACTGATCTGC